CCCCAAAACCCCAAAACCCCAAAACCCCAAAACCCCAGGTAAATATAAGTCAAAATTTCAAACCTATTTATAAAATTTATTAAAATCCTTTAAATATGGACGAGCTACGTGAAAGAGCAAAGCAAAGCATTGTGATGAAGAGAGAGATAAAGGAAGAATTGCCCTCAAAAACTCCTGCTACTACTGCCACAACTGCTAACCCCTCTATAGCCAAGAAAGAACTCGAAGAGGACTCATTAGTGAAGAGGAAGGACTCCAAGATTAAGGAAGAAGTAAGTGATCATGCAAAAATTAACGATTCAGACAGTACTAGGGAGCTAAAGAAAAAGAAAAAGCGTAGTAGTTCTCCGAAACGACATAAATCTAGGCATAGGGACTCTCGTAGGAGAAAGCATAGAAGAAGACGCTCTAGATCCCATTCTTCTGACTCTTATGAAAGAAGACGTAGAAGAAGATACCGCAAGCGTAGCAGCTCAAGCGGATCTAGAGATAGACGTAGGAGCAGACACCATAGGAAGAGTAGAAAGTCAAGGAGACATAGCTCTTCCTCCTCCTCTTCCTCTCAAAGCTCTTCTTCACCTGAAAGAAGAAGGGAAAGAAGTCCTAAAGCTAGTGATTTGAAGTCCAAGCATCCTTACTTCTCAAGACTGAGCAAGATCAGGAGAGAACGACTTAACGAAGAAAGAAAAGAGAGGTTCTGGGACGGCTTCCAATGGGTTTCCAAAGAGAGCCTTGAGTTGGCCAATAAAGATCCAACTGCTCATATGAAGAAAATATTTGAAAAGCCTCCTACTGGTGAGGAGAAAAAGGAAGAGAAGATAGTCACAGGTAAAGATCTAAGAAGAGTCGTGGCTACCAATCTTCCTCTACATTATGGTATTGACCAGGAAGACTTGTCAAGATACCTGATCCAAAAATGCAAGGAAAAGGGTCATGACATCCTTTTCAGATCTATCTTTCTAAATTACGAGCAAAATTCTGGAATTATCGAATGCATGGAGAAAGAACAAACTGATATTCTTATAAAACTCGATGGTGAAGTCCTGGCTGATAACACTCTCAGGTTTACCAAAGTAGCTGATGAGAAGGGATTCATCTACGGAGGGGATTCAGAAGCTCTGATGCAAGACTCAGCTCAATTGACTGCTCAAGCTGCCGCTATTGTTAATTCTAGAATTAGAGGCCTTCAGGGTAAAGGAAATACTAATGAGAATATCAATCTCATGGGTGATAGTTTCTCAACGACTAAGCCATCCAAAATCATTAAAATAATGAATGCTCATGATAGATATGAAGATTTGTCCCTTCAGAAGTTCCAAGAGATGTATGAAGATATGTCAGAAATGATGCTTCAATTCGGGCAATTTAGCGCGCTCAAAATCATCCAACAAGACCACCACGACCCTGATAGTGAAGATGTTCTTTCCCAAATTCTCTCAGAATTGGGCTCAGTGTTTGTCGAATTTGAAACTGAAGAGGAAGCTAAAAGAGCCAAGGATGAACTCAAAGGGAAGATCTATGACGGAAGAGAAGTCAGATGCATCTTCGTGCCTGAGAAAGTTTACTCATCTTTGAACCTGAAGTAATTACAAATTCTTTCAATACTCTAATGTTAATTAGGGGTTTTGGGGTTTTGGGGTTTTGGGGTTTTGGGGTTTTGGGGTTTTGGGG